GCGAGACTTAAACATGTATTCCCAAATGTATAAAATGCTCAGCTAATGAAATTGGACCTGGCTCCAGGGACCAGTTAAAATCTGTCAGAGCCTTAGCATGTGCAGATGGGTAGGACACTGATTTAAAAAATATATATATATATATATTTTTTTTTTTATTGACTTCAGAGAGGAAGGGAGTGGGAGAGAGAGAAGCATTAATGATGAGAGAGATTCACCAATGGACTGCCCTCTGCATGCCCTCCCACTGGGGACCGAGCCCACAACCTGGGCATGTGCTCTTGGCTGAAATCCAACCCGGGACCCCTCAGTCTGCAGACTGACGCCGTATCCACTGGGCCAAACCAGCTAGAGAGGTCACTGATTTTTTGAAATATTTTTATTGATCTCAGAGAGGAAGGGAGAGGGAGAGAGAGAGATAGAAACATCAATGATGAGAGAGAATCATTGATCAGCTGCCTCCTGCACATCCCCTACTACTGGGGATCAAACCTGCAACCCCAGGCATGTGCCCTTGACCTGAATCAAACCCGGGAGGGCCCCTTCAGTCCTCAGGCCAATGCTGTATCCACTGAGCCAAACTGGCGAGGGCCTGGTTTTTTTTTTTTTTAAGCTGATTTGATGTGAACCGGGAGATTCACTTTCCTGAGTGTCTCGCCCCCTTGGCTCTGTGTTGTGGCAAAAATATCTCGTCATTCACCGACGTGCGTCCCTGCCGTTCATTGCTACATTCTGACCTATATCTCCCCACCGACCAGACGCCCTGTTTGCCTTTTTAGTTGATAAAGGGAAGTGGTCCCCATCAGGGAGCAGGTCCCCTTCACCCCTCTGGCCCCGTCCACACCTGGTGTGACTTTGGTGTCAGCCTGTTGTTGCGCAGCCTGTTGTCGCAGCAGCCCAGCTGTGCGTGGTCCCTGTTTGGAGGCACTGTGAGCCAGGGCTGGGTCTGTGCCTGTCCAGCCTCCTGCCTAGCCAGTCACGGGGAAGATGGGCAATGCAGTCCCACTTGTGAGCTAACCCTGTACATCATACTTGGCCGAGAAAGATGTGAACGCACACAGCTGGCCGGAGATGGGGCTCTTGCTGGTTGTGCATAGTTGGAAAATTTCCAGACGAGAGAGCGTGTGCCTGGGCGACCTGGGAGGGGGAACCACAACCACAGACCCCGCTGGCCCCCAGGAGCTGCTGGTTGTGTCAGCAGGAGGTGTGGAGCCTTGGGCTTGGGTACCGAGAGGCTGGACCAATGAGCCCGCCTCGGGTGTGAGAGGACAGGTGTGCTGGGAGGAAGGGGAAGGGAGAGGCCCTTGGTGCAAACGCTGCAGGCGGTGGTGCTGGTAGGCACCAGGTGGGTGGCAGCAGTCAGTGAGCTATGCCGTTAGCCACCCTGTCTGGTGAGGCGGGCAGCCAGGGACGGGCTGGACCACCCCCAGCAGTGCTGAGGTCTGCCGGTCCCCCTGCTGGGTCCTCCCCCCCCCCCCCCAACTGGCAGTGACAACAGGGCCCTGTCGGTAGCCCTTCGGCCCCTCTTGCCTCCTCTCCCAGTGGTCCCCATGAGGTTGATGGCTCACCTTGCCTTTCACCCACCTGTCTGTGCTCGGTGCTGGGTGGGGGGTCGGGGAGCAGGGAAGCAGATCCTCACGGTTGGTCAGCTGGCTGTGGACCGGTCCATCCCGCTGCCAGGGTACGTTCCCCGTGGCCCTTGCCTGAGCCACTGCAGTCATCGCTGCATCTCTTGGCACGTTAACTCTGGCCTGACTTGGCCAGGCCTGCCTGCCTGTCATTTGCTCACCGTGCTCCTGTGAGATGCCACACCGAGCCAGGTTGGAAGCTTGATTCATTGAAGAGCCTGAGCCTTCTGACAGAGTCAGGCTAGTGTACCTGGCTGTTTCCATTCGGCTGTTGGAAGCAGCCCTGTTGGTCCTCCTGGAGGCGGGAGAGGAGGAAGGAGGCGCCAGCTGGAGGGGGTGATTCAGAGGCAGGGAGTGAGCAGCAGGACGCAGCAGGCCAGGAGAACCCGCAAAAGCGCTCTCAGCAGATGGGCCTATTGCCTGGGAAGCTTCTGTGCTCTGTAGCCGGCACCAGCGCCAAATCTGCGACCCCCTCCTTCCCGTGCTTCCGAGTTACCAGGTGGTGAGCCCAGGGCAAAGCCAGATGCGTCTCGCCGTGAGCTGGGAAGACTTCCGCTTAGATGGAATGGGACGCTCTTGGCTTGAGTCTGAAGAGGGTGTTTTCCTTTTGCTCCGCCCTTCAGAGGTGTGTACTCGGGGACTCCCCGTGCATGTGGGACGCGCTGGTCCTGCCCTACACGTATGGGTCCGCCCCAGCGGCAGGCGGGAAGGGAAGCAAGGAGGGGGAGGGGCCTGTGGGCAGCGGGCCTGGCCGAGTGGGGGGGCGAGGGATTGGAGAGAAAGGCAGTTCCTGATGGTCCCCTCCCCAGGAGCTGGCTTTCCTCTGGTCCTTCCCTCCCAATGACTGCGTTTTCGTCGAGGCTGCAGCCCTGGGCTCTGTGCCCAGCCCTCTGGCACGAGGCTGCCTGGAGACCCATGGGTGGCCTTTCCTGAGACCACAGAACCCTCCCTGCGCCACCTGGGAGGCTGACCTGCCACTCACTTGGGCCAGCTAGGTCAATGGGGTCCTCCAGCTGAGCCTCTATATGGCCCATGAGCATCAGTGGGGAGGGCCGCGGTAGGTCCAGGCAGACATGGTGACAGTCCGAGTGGTGCATTGTGGGATCCCTTAACACGCCCCACGTTGTTCAGGGCCCACTAGGGTCCGGTTTCTGGAGAAGGTCGAACACTAAAATGAAGAGACTGGAAGAGTTACCTTGGAAAAATGGGGGGGGGCAGGCGGGAGTCCACCTCTAGTGGAAAGACTACTAGTAGGCTCTGGCCTCGCTCTCCCTTTTATTGAGGCTGCTCTGGGATACACCCATTACCCTTAAGCAGCTTTGGGAAACACCCATAGCCTTTAGGCAGGTAATAAACGGATTATCATATCAGTAAGGATTTTCATGATTACAAGATGGGGATGTTGCCTCAATTACCATTGTCTCAATTAGATAGGGAGTGGTTGGCTCTGACTTTTCCGAGCTTCACGGCTGACCAGCCTCTTTCTATTAGTGAGACAATGATTGGTTTCCAGCAGCGCATCCTTAGTGAAGCAGCCTTCAGAACAGCCCTTCGTCCCGGTGGGGCTCTGGACCGGGATTTCAGCAGGGATGGTCTGGCAGGGCTCCTCCCGCCGACTGGGGCAGCCTGGGTGCCAGGGACACCACCAGCCCGCCTTGCTTGGAGCATTCTGATGCCTGAGAGAGACCAGCTCCTCTGGGGCGAGGAGACCTGTGCCTTCTGTGTTGGACCATGATCCGGTGGCGCTGCTGAGAACCCTGCCAGCCGTGCCTGGTGGGCGGGACACCTGGGGTCCCGGGAGGCCCAGCATGCTTCCTGTCTCCCCGCTCTATGTTCTGGGTGATTCTGCGCTGACTCATCTCATACGCTGTGTCTAACCTGCTGTTCCGTCCATTGCCAAGTTGTAGTTCGCCGTTATCTATGCCTCCCACTTGGGAAAGTTGTATCTGGTGCTTTGTGAACCCCTTTTTCTCTGTGGGTATATTCCCAAGCTCCCTTTTTGCTGCAATCAGAGTGTGGTTATTGACGAGACGTGTGTGTGTGTGTGTGTGTGTGTGTGTGTGTGTGTGTGTCTCTTTCTGCTGGTTCTTGTGCGTGGTGCTTCGCTCTGCTATGCGGTTCTTTTAGACCATGCACTGCTTTGTCCTAGAGATTATTTGGGAGACTCCTTGGAGGTCTGGGGTGAAGACGAGAACTCTGGTTTGCTAGGTGCCCAGGGGCACCGCCAGTGTGGGACTCCTCAAACTGAGTCTTGGCTGAGGGTTCCTGGACCCCTGGTGTGGCCCTGGCTCCACTCTCGGAGCTTCTCAAGGACTTCCTCCCCTGTAGGCGCCCCTGCCGCCCCCAGTGGCTGTGGATACAGCCCACCCTCGCCCTCCGAACGCTGCTCCTCAGGGTCCCAGCTTCCCTTGGGGAGGGGTTTCCCACGAGGTCCGTCCTGAGGCGGTGCTGGGCTTTGTCTTCTGGCCCTCACTCCCAGGGTTACCAGAGCCAGGTTTGCCCAGATGAGTCAGTGCCCCAGGGCAAGGAATGCCCCAAGCTCTGTTCTTCCCATCTCTGGTTCTCCAAGATGTTGGCTAAATTCTATGTGACCAGTTAGCTCTTGGCTGCTTAGGAAGATATTTTCGCATTCTCTCAAGCATTTTGAGTTTTGACCAAGAATGTTGGTTCCATCAGGCTGCCCACAGGGATGGTCAGGGCGCCCACAGGTGGGAATGCAGCCCGCGCCTGTCGGTTCAGGCTGGTGGCCAGCAGCCCGTCTCCTATGGCTGTACATCCCCTAGCACCTTGCACTTCTGCTCGTCACCATGGCGACACCTCACCTGCCCAGCTACAGGTTTTATGGGGACAAAGGTAGCTCCCCTGAGGCCCTTGCCTTTGCCTGCGCCTGAAGGGGCCAGGAGGAACAAGGGGCCAAGTCCTGGGGGTACCTCCAGGGCTTGTGGGAACCAGTGGAAATAGTAATGGAATCACTACTCTTGCCCTCCTCCCCCCTCACTCCCACCTCCCCCCCAGCCAGACCAGGAGCAGAAGTGAGTGTAGTGTTGGGAACACCCTGGCCTTGTCCACAGGGAGGCCCCAGGAGCGAGGCTGCCGCAGAGAGGCTCTCAGCTGAGGTTGTGTTTGTGGTGACAGCCGTGGGCCTTGGCCCCCTTTGTCCCTTCTGTACTCTGTGGCTGTAGCCCCTGCTGCCCGTCCACCTGCCCATGGGGTGCCGGCAGGGAGACGGCTGGGCAGTGCTGCTGAGTGTCATGCCGTTGGGCACATGACTGGCATGTCTAGGGAAGGCCGGGGGCAGTACAGAGCTGGTTCTGTTCAAAGTTCATCGCAGCTTTGGGTCGGTGGTTCTGTTGTCTGCTGGTTACTCAAATCATGTTTTCCCCCCTCCCCCCTTTCCCCACAGACTGTGTAACCCCGTGTGAGCAAAGCCACCCTCAGGGACCCATGTGCATCATCTTCTTTAAGTTCGATCCTCGCCCTGTTTCCAAAAATGCGTACAGGTAACCCCTCACTCTGAGTCTGCCATCATCTGCTCAGCCTTGGGTGCCCCACAGTCCACAGTACCCATGTAGGTGACCCAACCAGGAGAGGCCGCTGCTGCTGCTGCTGTGCCCAGGCAGGGAGAAGGCAGCCCTGGGACGAGCCGCACAGGTCTGGCAGTGCCTCTCAGACAGTGGTCAGACAGTGGTCATTCAGCGTGGGTGCTGGAGGGAATACCTCTCGGCTATAAATACCTGAGTTGATGTACAAATTGTACATGTTCTAGAAGCCCAATGCACAAAGATTCGTGCTAGAATGGGCCTTCCTTTCTCTGGCTGCTGGCACACCGCCTTGCCATTCCGGCCCAGCCCTGGAGCCGCCTCTTTCTGCTCTGTTCCTGCCTTCCCACGCTGCTCAGAGGCCCTGAGAGACCAGGGGTGGGGTGGAATGCCTGCATCATCGCCATGGCGAGGATACAAGCATCCCACCTGCCTCCTGTTGCTGGGTGCCTGTGTATGCAAATTAACTGCCATCTTTATTGGGGGTAATTTACATATCACTCCTGATTGGCTGGTAGGTGTAGTGGAGGTAGGTCAATTTACATGTCTGTCTATTATTATTATTATTATTATTATTATTATTTTTTTAAAATATATTTTATTGATTTTTTACAGAGAGGAAGGGAGAGAGATAGCTAGAAACGTCGATGACAGAGAAACATCGACCAGCTGCCTCCTGCACACCCCCCACCGGGGACGTGCCCGCAACCAACGTACATGCCCTTGACCGGAATCGAACCTGGGACCCTTCAGTCCGCAGACCAACGCTCTACCACTGAGCCAAACCGGTTTTGGCGTGTCTGTCTATTATTAGATAAGATACTAATACTAAGACTCAGCCTCTAAAATTGTCTGTGTGGGCAGGACGGAGGAGTGAAGTGGGTCCAGGCAAGCGGCACATCCCTGTGGGCTGACAGAGGACCGGGCAGCAGAATTGAGTGTGGGAGCCCCACTTGCACTGGCTGGTCTGTGTTGCCGGAAGAGGTCTGGGTCATGTAGTCAGGGTGCGGGTTCCTGTTCCCCTTGGGACTTGCCCACGTTGTTACTGAGGCAGATTTTCTTCGTTAACTAGAGAGAGAAAAGTGTGGTTTCTCTGTTTTGACCTGGGAGTTTCAGTCGTGCTTTCTTCTTCAGGCTTATCCTGGCCTCCAACAGGGACGAGTTCTACCACAGACCATCCAAGATGGCGGACTTCTGGGGCAACAACAACGAGGTCCTCAGCGGTGAGTCTTTCCAGCGTGGCCAGAAGCGCCGGCCTCCGAAGGTTCTGGCAGTTATGGTGCTGCCTCCCTGTGTAAACTCGGAATGAGTTAGTGGACACTCATGGGTCTAATGGGGTTGGCTCCAAAGTCTCAGTCCTGGGGCAGTTTGGGCTGACCAGCCCCGGAATTGTCCACCCCGCACCGTCCCCGTGGCTTCATGTGTTGTGAATCCCCAGAAGAAGTAGCTGGAAGGATCGGTTGGTCTTATTTGGATCCACATGTTCCCCGTGGACTTGCAGTTGTATTGGTATGAGGTGTAAGTCCACCCTCGGTCACTCTGTGCAGCATCATAGTTGTGTGTGCGCGCGCGCACGTGTGTGTGTATATGTGCACACACACGTGTGCTTATCTCTGCAACACGTTTCTGTTTACTTCCAAGCACCCTTGTTCCAGTGAGAGCTGGTCTGAATTTGGGGAGCAGAGGTTTGGTTGGGGCACCTTTGGGTGGGAGCCTCATGAGGGGGTCCCCGTGGAGGAGAAATGAAGGTCACAGCCAGGTCCCCCCCCCATCCAGCCGACAGCCTCCATGGGGTGGGCAGGGGTTGACTTAGAGGGCGTGCTGACAGGTGTTGGCTAGGCCAGGAGTCCCTCTGCCTGGGAGCCAGGTGCCAGGCAAGCACCGGGGAGCCTGGCAGAGTTGACAGGGTGCCCAGTGAGGTTCCGTGATGGAGCTGGGGCTCTGCTCCCAGCCCAGTGCCAACCCAAGCTCTAGGATGCTGTTGGCATCGGTTGGCCCACGGTGAGAGCATCTTTCCAGTGTCCTGCTGCCCCGCCCTGTGGAGTCACATCCCCGGATCCAGGGCTGGGGGATGAGGTCTGACTGCCAGGACGCAGGGAGAGGGTGGGCACGGCTGGTGGTGATGCTGGCATCTGTCCAGGGCTCGACATGGAGGAAGGCAAGGAAGGAGGCACATGGCTGGGCATCAGCACTCGCGGGAAGCTGGCAGCGCTCACCAACTACCTGCAGCCACGGCAGGACCCAGATGCCAGGGGCCGAGGTACCATGGGGCTGGGGCGGGGGCGGGGGGCTGGGGGCTAGCTTAGGGGAGCAGGGGCTAGCCCTGGGGGGTG